TGAACATGGAATCAATGAACATGATATTCCAATTATTTATATACCTTTGATGTATTCTTTAGAGTTTTGTAGTTCCCATATACAGATCTTGTTTATAATTAATTTAGATTTATACTAAGTATTTAATTTCTTTAGATGCCATTGTAAATGGTATTGTTTTTTAAATTCCAAATTCCAATTGATCATTACTGGCAAAGCAATTAAGTCTTAAATATTACCCTTTTATCCTATAAACTTCCCATATTCACATATTAAACCATTAAGCAATAGTTAAATAAACTGCTAATCATTTACAAAGCATAGTTAAATTCAGAAAGGTGAATGAGGTGTGGGGAAATAAACACACGTTTATAAGCTTTGGTGGAATTGTGAATTAGCACATTTCTGGAGGGTAACCAGGAATAATATATCAAATTTTTCAACTAAGACTTCATAATCCAAAAATTTCCCTTGTAGAAATTTATGCCAAGAAAATAATTAGACAAGTTCACAAAATTGTGTGTATATAAATATTACTAGTCAAATCAATATAATAGCTCAAATTAGAAATAATATAAATGCCTATATTCTGTAGTATAGTGACCAAATAAATAATGGTATATCCATGTAATGGAATATTAAGTAGTTGGTATTCTTATATTAAAAAGTGCTCTTGATTATTACTAAGTTTTTAAAAAGCAGACTATAGAATAGCATTATAAAAAGAACCATTTTTGTAAAGAAAAATGAGTTTATATAATCATCTGGAAAAATATTCTATTTAGAATGAAAGATGAGATTATGGGGAAATTTTCATTTCATTGTATTGTTTGTTACTTTTTAAAGTACTTATGAATTATTAGAAGAATCCATATCCATTTTATATAATAAGGTAACAAAAAAGTAAACATCTTAAAAATTTAATGAAATATAACTTACCTAAAGTTTTCTTTTTCCATTCCCAAATAGTTATAGATCTTCTCCAAGCATTGGATGTGGCCAACATGCTAGAAATTATTCCTCAAATTGAGAAAGATAATAAAGAATATAGTCACACTTTTCACAGTGACCTGAAAGAAGAGATTTTGATGCTCATGGCAAGGTACCAGCATCCATCAGAGCTTCAGGTGGAGTTCAATGATTATGCTGCAGATATCAAGTCTACTTATGAAAGTCAAAGATGCCAAATTGCTCCTGATTGGCCAGCCAACCCTCTGAACTGGATAACTGTCCTCTTCTTAGGGGAGGAGAGAACCCAGGAAGCCTGGAAAATGTTGGGGCTTTTCAGGAAACATACGAAGACCCCTAGTAAGGAGGTGCTGGATGAGTTTGTGGATAGTGCAAAAGCATCCAACAGCCCTGCCCAGGCTATTGAGACAGTGAAGCCGCAGAATGCCTTCAGCTTGCCTATTTGTGAGGGTCTCACCCAGAGAACAATGGCTGACTTTACAATCAGTCTGAGACAAAAGGGAGCTCTAGGACACCTAACTATATTGGCCTGACAGTGGCAGCGACATTAGCAAAGGCAAATAAAAGTGGGCCAGTCAAGAGCAGCTATGGCTAGCATGAGGTGTTAATAATTAAAACCATGGTATGAATAAAATGAGAATATAGATTTGGTGAACTTTGAAACACAACCGATATAATACTGACTTACGTAAAAGTTAAATTCCTTATTTGATATCAACTAAACCTTCCATTCAGAGTTTATTGTTTAAACCAAAGCACTAATAGCATTGTCAGTTCTTTGGATACGTATTGTGACATGCATAGCTCCTGATTTCAGCATAAGCTCTGCACACCTGCTGTCATCAGTGGAGTTTGCCCTCCCCTGTTCAGAACTTTAGCTTTTGTTGGCTGATGACACTGGTACTTCTTTATCTTAGAGAAGGTGCCTACAGGAGGTTTTGATACCATTACATCACAGTTAATATTTATTGGGTCACTAATATCCCAATATTATGGGTATTTACATGTAAGAAAAATATACATCTTAGAGTTGGTTAAATGACAGCGGCAGTTTAGGTTACACAACTGGGGAAATGAAGACTGTAAATGAATATTGAATGGATGTAAATTCATTGTTTTGCAGATACTTTGGATACTTTTTTTAAATTTTATTTTGTCACGATGTCTTGAGTAGATGGCTGTCACTCCAGGGAGTGAACATGTAGGTCTCCTTCCATTTGTACAGACAGACTAGGTGGGTAGGTTTTGGTATTTGTAAACCACTTGTGAATTGAATATTGGACTGATCATCTCCAGGCTGGGTGATAGGGCTCCAGAGTGGGTAATTTCTAGGGCTCTAGTTCTTAGGTTATATGTAGATATCTATAAATGTCAATAAATGTACTGTTCTTCCTGGTAGAGTATGAGATATGAGATGTATATTCCACTCTTGACATAGTTGTCATCACTTGTCTAGGATTTTCTTATATGTGACAGGCGCCCCCTAGTGAACAGTGGGGCTTAGATTGGCCTCCACTCTAAAAGAGACTGGGGAAATATCTGAACCTGTTTTAACAAATTCATATTATTAAACAAGATGTTGTGTGTGACTGAGGGTGATGTTGGGATCTGTTCTTTGTAAAAAACATGTGTTTCACAAAATAGATGTAGTAATCAATTCTACACAAAGTTCAAATTAATATGAACTTGGCTAGATCAATGATCTTTATCAACTCTTCAAATGTAGAGGCTTGGCTGAATTCTTTTTATGTCGTTACTAGAATCTGATAATTTGGGGTTGAGACTTGAGAAACCATAATTTTAATCCAAAATACTTAAATATGGTAAGTATATTTGATAAACTATATTCTATTTGTTAATTTCAAGATGAGAACATTTAATGAAAACTGTGATTGTTTAAATGATACATCGTTACTTTAAAAAATATATATTCTATTGGTTTTTTACAGAGAGGAAGGGAGAGGAATAGAGAGTTAGAAACATCGATCAGCTGCCTCCTGCACACCCCTTACTGGGGATGTGCCTGCAACCAAGGTACATGCCTTTGACCGAAATCAAACATGGGACCCTTCAGTCCGCTGGCCGATGCTCTATCCAATGAGCCAAACTGGTTAGGGCTACATCGTTACTTTTTAATATATTTTATTGATTTTTTACAGAGAGGAAGGGAGAGGGATAGAGAGTTAGAAACATTGATGAGAGGGAAACATCGATCAGCTGCCCCCTGCATACTTCCTATTGGGGATGTGCCCACAATCAAGGTACATGCCCTTGACCAGTATCGAACTTGGGACCCTTGAGTCTGCCGGCCAACGCTCTATCCACTGAGCCAAACCAGCTAGGGCTACATCATTACTTGTATTTACTTCTTCACTCCCTAAAGCTCTTGCCACTTGTAACAGTCCATACTATGTTCTTATAAAAAAAGGTTATAATTTTGACATCATCATTCTTATCATTATTTGTAACACTGAGTTAGGTCCTCAATGAGGAACCCCAAATTCTTATCCTCTAAGTTGCTTCTAATATAAAATAAAGCCAAATAATATGTAACCGGGTCAATTGGAAAATAAGTCAAATAAATATAAGAGAAAATATTCACATTATTTTAACAGTGTCGAAAGAACCGAAGCAATCACACACTTGACTCCGTGGCGTCTAAACCAACAATTAGAGAAAAGGTAAACAAGAAGCAGGTGACATGTTTAAATAACAAGTAGGTGAAAAGATTATTGGACTATCTTCAAAGATCTTGGTTGATGCCAGAAATTATCAAGTTACGAACTGTACGTAGTGTATTTTACCCTGCCTACTTTCCAGGGGCAGATGATCATGTTGCCTCCTTCTTCTTATCTAAACAATTAAAAAAAAAATTTAAAAAATTACTTCATCTTCTTTTGCCTAGATTACCCTTTGTCTCCTGACCAGTCGGTCCTTCCAGATTCACCTCATTTCTTTCAGGTCCAAGCTGACTTCTCTAACTTGAAGGCAGGTCCCTTTTGGTCCTCACTCTCCACTGAACTCCTAATGGCCTAATTTAGCACCATTATGCCTCTTTGATTAATATATATATATATATATATATATATATATATATATATATATATATATATATATATATATATATATTAAAGAGCTCTACAGAACACGTGCAAGCCTTCATTCAAATTACAGCTGACCCTCAAACCCACCTATTAACTCACGTCGTCCCTCCACCTGCACGGATTTCTCCCTCCCGCCCCCCATGTTCATGAGTAGCCAGATCCCCAAATGCATTCTCCCATCCCTACAGCTTCCCGGCTTTAGAGGGATAACGTGTGCCTGTCCCCGGTCACGGCGGCCTGCACGCGCAGACAGGGTGGGAAGTCAAGTCAATGACAGGCTAGAGGACCAAAGCACCTCGTCCGCCTGCCTCATCCTTCGCCACAGAACGCCCGTGCTTCCTGGTCCTGTTTCCTAAGATGCAACCTGGGCGGATGCGAGGTCAGCCGTGGGAGGCGGCGCCCTCCTCCGCGGGCCCGATGATGATGCCGGGAGGGAGGGTGGCACCCGGAGGCGCAGGTGTCCTGCTCCGGGGCGACCCCGGAAGCGGGGGGGGGAGGGGGAAGAGGGGGAGAAGAGGGGTCGAGGGGGCGGGACGCGCCTGCGCATCCCTGGCTCCCGCGCCCCCCGCCCGCAGCACCCTCCGCCCGAGGCCGGCGCGGGCGGGAGGAGGGGCCGCCGGCCCCCGCCCCCCACGTGACGCGGCCGAGGACACTGGAGCGGCGGCGGCGGCGGCGGCGGCGGCAGACTGGTGCAGCGCCCGGCGCTTACGGCTGGAGCTCCTCCTCCGCCTGCTGCAGCGCGGAGCCCCGCCGGTCCCCGCTCCTGCTCCGCCGCATCCCCGCTGCCTCGGCGCCCCGAGCAGGAGCAGGAGAGGACGCCGCGGAGCCGCCGCCGGAAGAGGGGACCCGGCCGCCGCCCGCCCGCTCGCTCCCTCGGCCGTCGCCGCCGGGGTCTGCCCTCCCTCGGGGTCTCCGCCGTCTCCTCCCCCCGCCGCCCGGCCCGCCGCGATGGGGCTCCTGGACGCAGAGCCCGGCAGCGTCCTGAACGCGATGTCCACGGCGCTCAACGACACGGTGGAGTTCTACCGCTGGACCTGGTCCATCACAGGTAACGCCCGCCCCGGCCCGCCGGCGCCTGCCCGCGGCTGATGGGATGCTGCTGCTGCGGAGGAGGAGGAGGAGGAGGAGGGAGAGGAGGCGCCGGGCGCGGGGACCGCGGCGGGGCACTGGCTCCCCCGGCCCGAACGTTAGGGCCTCTCCCTCCCCGCGACGCCCTCACGGTTTCCCTCGGACCTGCCACCGCCTCCTCTCGCTTCTCGGATGCGGGAGCGGGCGGTTCGGACGGAGCCGGGGCTGCCCAGAGCTCGCTGTCGCAGGAACCGCCCTAAGCTCTGAGCCCACGTCGCCAGATCTAAGCCCACGTCGCCAGATCTCCGCCGACGCCCCTAAACGATGCACAGGATTGCGTTCAACCTTTAGTAACAGTCCGTGCGGAGAGATGGCTGAGGGCGCGGGGGACTCCAAGGGTAGCTGTCTTTTCTTCTTCTTCTTCTTCCGCCTCCTGGGTGCTTTGACACATCCTGCTAACCTGCTAATATTTTTGTCTAGCTCATCCCTCTCCATGATAATCTGGGAAGAAAGATAAAAGAGCCCTTGTTTGGCTCCTCGAGTCTCGAAGAATGTCAGTTTCTGAGGCTTTTCAGAAGCAAATATGTTCGAAGTGATTGTCCGTATTGGCTTTGCGCAGTGCAGTGCAGTGCAGCCAGGGGGATGGGGATGCTACAGCACCCGGAAAGAATTGTCTTAGGAAGGGGGGTCTCGACAGCAGCCCCTAGAGGTCGTCCTAGAAGCCTACATGTGCAGTTTTCTTAAAATCTGCAAACTTTCCCCTCTAGTTTTATTCGACACGACATTCGATTGGTTGATACATGCAGCTCTAATAGCAGAAGCAGTTGTGGTATTATTTTGACAGGTCACCATTTATTTTATCCAACTGTTCCAGTTGTTTTTTGGCTTTAAGGCATTTGAAAGTTTTGAAGTGAGAAGATTAAGTTAACAGGATTTTATAAATAATCTTAGGATTTAAATTTTATAGCCCTTTTGCAATACCGCACTCCATCCCAGCAGGAGAGGAAATTGACATTCCATATTAGGACTTTGCCTCCCTAGAAACGAAAATGTATTCCTGTAGTTTTTGTGTTTGTTGTTAAGAGTAAATGGGGGAAGTGGTTACAGCACGAATACAGTACAATGCGTGGGATATATGCTGTAGAGAAAATGTGTTGCTGGAATTATTTCTGGTTGAGACAAATAATTCTTTGACATTGATGTAGCTTTAACTTCTTTGGAAAAGTGTGTTCTTTTTCAGAAGCTCTCAAGTTTGACACTGAGAAGTAAGCTATTTTAATTAGCCATTGCAATTGAAAATGGTTAAAAGACAGTTTTTAATGAGATTTTTCCCTTTAAAGTTTTTCTTCTGTGTTCTATTCACTGAGGTTATGCTCTGCCTATAAGAGCTGGGAAAGATGTGTCCTTCCCTTCATCTCAGGAGTGATTTGAGTTATTTAGATATTGCATCAGGGTTTCCCATTACACAATTTTGTAAAGCTCTTTAGCAGGTAATTGCACTTGCATACTTTAGAGTTCAGACATTGTCAAGGTCCTCCAATCTCCATATAGTCCAGAGCCACACCCAGGAGTTCCCATTCCTGTCTGTCATTCCCTTCCCACCTCTTGAGTCTCAGAGGGAATTGAGAACAAGGATAGAATATATCTTTGTGTTCATAGTTAAACCTTTTCTAAGGATGCTTTTGGTAAAACATCACCAATGAAATAGGATAAGGTTATGCAGCTGCCGTATTTGAAAGCTTGCGAGTCTCATGGAAGACATAAAATAATATAATATTGTGAGCTAAGACGGAGGAATGAGAGCAGCCACTGGGACACAGGTGACCTCTCACCAGCAGATGGAGGAAAGGTGCCCTGGCTATCCACTTACGAAACCTGAGACTGCTTCCTTGCTTTCTGTAATCAGCTACCTAGTGTGGGTAGATGGTATTTCTTAATTTAGAGGCTTAGTGGGATGTAGCCTGCTCTGCCTTGCTGCTGTGTAAAGGGGAGTATTTTTCAGATTCAGGCGGATCATACCTGAAGCCTGTGGTGTCCCATTTCCTTTCACGGCCTCTTCCCCTCCCTTCCATGCTCTCCGGGTACCTGTTCTTTGACTCATTAGCACTGATCCAATTCCAAGATGATCTCTTCTCACTATAATTTTATGAAAATCTGGGCGAAGGAGTTTGAGGGTAGAAAACTAGTCTCTTAGATGAGGCCGAAGAGAAAGTTGATGAGTCTGAAGTTTGGAAAGGGGGAGAATAAAAATGGGTGGAGAGAAAGATGGCCTTGAGAAATAGTGGCGACTGTTGTGAAAGGACACACATTACTCACGGAGAGCAAGCAATGAGCGAGACTCTGTGCCTTTGTGTGCTGTCATCCCCAGAATTGGAGCTATATGCTTCTATCTTTCTGTGTTATTACTTAATTGAATATTTCTCTCCGCTGATGTTTCTATCTTCTAGAAATAACGTATCTATTTTGGACTGCTTATAACAGAAGTAGTTACAGTTTTATATTTGATGATCTAAGACATTTTTGTTACAGTTTTATATTTGATGATCTAAGATATTTTTGTTCTAGGGCAAACAGTTTCTGCAAAAATACTAATTTGGGCTATTTTATCAAATGGTGCTATTTAATAAAACATGTCCAAAGCAATGTATAAAACTGGGCTTCTTAACAGCACATATCTATCAGATATAGCACATGGCCCATAGTTTATCAATACAGAAGATGTTACTTTTACTATATCATTGATACTTCATATATTGAATTGAAACTTTGAAAGAGCTGTACATTTAGAAAAACAATAACTTTTTCCACTTCCTTATTTAATAGCTTCAGATATTTTAAACAAGTAAACTAATCTTGGTTTATATTATATAGGGAAGTATAGATTGATGTGGGACTTTTTGCCAGTTGGTGGTATGAGAGTAGGAGGTACACTGATGCCATTGTGTTTATTTTCTCTTCTATTACTTTATGAATATATTAAGATTATTAGGACTGGTATCCTTGACTCAAAGTGAAATCTAATCAAGAGATGTAAACAGATGAATCTAAACATTCCCGTCTGTAAATACCCAAAGTATTTACATCATTCATTGTGTTCATTTATTACTTTAATAAATGTTTATTAGTAAACTTGTGTAACTGATATTTAGCAAAAAAAAAAAAACAACCCACAAAAACAAACAAACTGAAGAATTAATAGCCAGCATCCCCACAATAAGGCCAAATGTCTCCTGAGCCACCATATTTCTTTTTAATTCCATGTTTTCAAACAGCTATTGTTCATGAAGTATGTATGCGTGTGTGTGTGTGTGTGTGTGTGTGTGTGTGTGTGTGTGTGTGTGGTTGACACTGCTCTCTGTTCAAAGATATAGTACCCAACATTTTGGTGAAATATTCATGTCTACTTGGGAGTTGAAGCTAGAGCATAAAAGACCAGCCTTGCTGGGTCCTTAAATTAACTTTGGAGTGGGTAGAAGGGAGAGAATGATGAACGGTACACAAGGAGGAAGAATGATGGTGAAGTTTGGAAGCTAGGCTTAAATAATCATTCATTCTTTCCACATGTGCAGGCACAGTACTGGGCCCTGAGGAGAGGATGAGAACACTTGATGATTGCCCCCATGCAGCTTAGGAAGTCTAGAGGATCAAGGCCATGGTCTGAGGGTAGTGTGATTTGTCAGTCAGGCCTACCTGGGGCCTAAGGAAGGTCAGAAAAGTCCTTCTCTACTCTTCTCCTCTCTACTTCTACCTATACTGCAGTCTTGTGTTGCAGCAAGAATATTAAAGCTCTGTTTCAGAATATGTTTCATCATGGGAAGTTGTTTTGGATGTTGTTGGAGAGGTACTGGGAACTGGCAGTGTGCTTAAGGGTCCGTATATCATCTGGTTTGCCAAAACTGGGGGCTTGTAGGAGGGGATCTTTAACTCAGCTCTAATAAGCTGTCATAGAGAAGCATGTGTCTTAAACATTGTTCAGTATATTTACATTAGAAGTATTATTTATCACAGTTAATGTGTACATTTCTATGTATTGCTTAAAATAGGTTTTGTTTGATTGGATTAGTCTTGGAACCTTGCCAGTCACCATTTTCAGTGTTTCTCAAGAAAAGGCATTCCAAATGCTAGCAACCAATTAAAGACAAATAAGTGTAGCATTACCAGTTCCTAACATGGGATCTCCTGTGGTCAGTGTTTTCCATGAGGGTCTAGAGCAAGCATGTCAAACTCAAAGGCTAACCTGGGCCAAATAAACCAGGCATGCGGCCCTCGGCCCTAGAGTTTATATGCTTGTTCTAGAATCATCTCTCTCTCATAACCTCCCTGAAGCTTTCAAGAGGTCTATGCAATTTAAGGGTTTTCTGGGGTTTTGTTTGGTTGGTTGGTTAGTTCCTATTTTTATTTTATTTTATTTCACTCTAGTGTGGTTTTGTTCCTTTCCCCAACAGCATACAACAGAAGTTCATTCACAGGAGGAATTCCGAGAGGATAAATGCAGATTATAAAACTGTTGTCAGGACATAGTTTTATAGTTAGTTTCTTTGGCTTAGGGAGAAAGGTTTTAAGAATTACACAGATAATTACTCCAGACAATGCTTTTGTGATCTTAAGAGCCACAAAGAAGTTGGTATATATATATATATATATATATATATATATATATATATATATATATATATATATATATGTATGTATTTCAGAGAGGAAGGGCAAAGGAGAGAGGATAGAAACATCAATGATGAGAGAGAATCATTGATCAGCTGCCTCCCCACACTGGGGAGGGAGCCTGCAACCCCGACATATGCCCTGACTTGGAATTGAACCATGACCTCCTGGTTCAAAGCTCGATGCTCAAACACTAGCTGGGCAGAAGTTGGTTATCCTTTAAAAATTCAATTTGCTTTAGTTTTTTTCCTCAAGTCATCTGATATTGTCATTAATGAATGCTTTATTATTATAAACATAATTATTATTTGGGATTTA